ATAACTCACTTGCTAATATAATGCAGTAACACTATCCAGGCAAGAAACACACARACAGCCATTTCTGCCAATCCAGGTTTTATCAAAGTAAAAAACGTCAGCACGTACAAAGTGACTTCTAACCAGTTGTTCAGGCTAAAAAAGTATTTCCAGCCCTAAATACAATAGATATGCACCAAGTGTTAGTTACGCCCTCGATAACACAACGGAAAACAACAAAAAAGCATCTAATTCTTCAAGGTTTTTTCCTGCTGAATGGGGGCTTTTGACCCCCTTTGGATCCGCACTTGTCCGTATAACCAAACCACCTATATCTGTCAGCTATGCCCTGCCCTGACCCAGCTCAGAGATATTTTCAGATGTAGGGTTCACTGTAAAGTTCATAGTCAACTCTGACCGTGGGTGGTGGTAGGAATCTAGAAGTTTTCTTTAGCCAAGCACCTAAAGTTACCGATGGAATGAACAAACTAACCCAAATAAAGAAAATGGTTTGGAATAAGATTTCGGGATAAAAYGTGGATGTAATAATAATAATAATACTAGTAATAATTGATTAGCTTRTATAGCGCATACTACATGTCGGAATGATCGCATGYGCTTTACATGAAAGGGTAAACCAGCTGATCTAAGAAAACAATTTACCCAGTTTTCCAWTTCTCATGAGATTGAAATTATTTTGCTTTGTCAAATTGAACTGCTTGACGTCAAATGCAAGGGATCTATCAGATCTAGAATCAAGAACATATACAACACTTTTCCTTTTRAAATCACGGTTTCCAGGCCACCAAATAAAAAAGTAACGTTGATACGCTCTTGATAGCAAGTGACATAATAATTCATGAGTATTWTTATTTTTATTGCAATGACAGTCATTATTTTGCCGCTGGTCAATTTTCACAGGCTTCATGACACCTCAGTTTCGCAGTAACGCAAGTCCGTCAATTATGTGAAAGAAAACACCAGAAAAAAAAAAAGAAAAAAAAAAGGTGTTGATGAATGATAACAAGACCCTACCTCATCAAACATCTGAAAACATTCCTTGGACAAATTGTAGATACAAGCGATCATAAGGATGACAGCCACTGTGGCCATCAGTTTATCTTCACGAAATGCCAGCACGATCAGTGGCTRCCGAGGAGAAAAGATAAGAATAGATTGTACGTTATAATAATAAATGTAATCTATAAACAGTGGAGCCTAGATCACCAAAGTGGTTTTCACTAGGGATATAAAAATATTATAAGCGTGTCGATTGAGTGGTTACTGTAAGTATAAAGTAMATTTTTGTAAAGTTATTTTTGATCCGCGCACATGCTCTGAATTCGAACTTTTATAGAAMAAAAACCCTTAATAAATTTGTGCACTTCTTATTTTATGTTATAGCCTCGTGGCGTCCTACCCTTGTTCTCTCAGCATTCCGCGTGTTTGGATTAAAATCTAAGACTGTTTTATATTTCTTAAGTTCTAATGAACTAACCTCCTTTAGTTTAGTGATCAAGGTTCGTGTCGTGTTGGTCTTGTCATCATCGCTAGGACTCGTGTTCTTAACAAGATAGTTCATCATGATGATAATAAGCACGATGTAGATTAGGAAAACTGCTTGATTGAGAAACGCGCACACAAGACCAAACTTTCTCCTGAAACAGAAAACAAGATGAGTGTTAAATAGAGCGGTTTTCTTAAGACTGTGTAAAGCTCGCGGTACGAACACGACGTGAAACGGCAAGGGATACGCCAGACCAATCACATTGCACGAGAATTTACTCTCCATCCAATCAAATACCCGAAAGAAGGCGGAAACCTAGAAAGCATCACGATCACGGCACGGCACGGCACGGCACGGAACGGAACGGCACGACACGCATACGGCGCTAAGCTTTTCATGGTCATGTAAAAACTGCTCTATTCTTTATTGTAAATACCACATTAACGACAGCTTCTTTTTGAATCAACTCCAAACAATTTGATCCTACCATTTGATATCCATCAGTACTGAGCACAATGGATGAGTCAGACAGGGCAGGGTCTTGTACTTGACCATGGTCTAGAATATAA